ACATTTTAATGACAAAAGTGAGGAATTCGCTAATGTTAATTTCAGTTTGTTTGGGTAAGTTTCGGCTCTATATTTAGAAACTGCACCCAGCACTATTTGATCTAGCCGGCCGAAATTAATTGTCGTTCTATCAGTTATAAATTCCTTCTACTCGCTCCAGAACGTTAAGAACAAAGACAAAATTAGAAGGATTTACATTGAATCATTAGAGCACTCGGCTTATATCTTAGAGACAATTTTCCCCGAAATACTAGTTTTTTTGGCAAGTACTGGCCCTTTGCGTGCGGTTCTTTCAAAATATCCCGACAAATCCCATATTTTCACAAATTTAATTTTTAGTAACCTCATCAGTTTAGAATTGACTATTAACAATCAACCTCAAATATTTTCATTGGCGTTCACGGTTTTCTGAGTTTATGAATGAGCAAACATCTTCCGCTGATCTGTCATTGAGTTTTGCCACGAAAGCTTAAATTTATCACCCCAGGAATTCACAAACATTAAGGTTAAATACTACGTCTATTACAGGGACTGTTAAAACAGCCAAATCGCAATACAGTTGACTCCCGATAACTCGAACCCTCTCGAACCTTGCGCTAACTCGAACCAAAATCGATTTCCCCTGGATTTCCGTCATAAATTTACTGTAATTTTACCCCCGATAACTCGAACCTCCCACTAACTCAAGGTAATTTTTGTTTCCCCTCAGATCATTTCTATATAATTTTACCCTCGATAACTTCAACCATGTTTTGAGTCCTTAAAAAGTCGGGAAGAGACTGTGTACTGGCGTCTGAGACATCGAATTTTTAATTTGCCATTGACTTGTTGTAGGCATATAGCTACTAGTGGAGGCTGCTGTTGTTTGTCACAAATCTAACGTGAAATAGCTTTACTTCTCAAAACAGTAAAACGCATGTCTATTTAGGCAATGTTTTGTTACTTTACTTTCTGATTTATAATCTAGAAGTATCTTTCAATTTTAACTTAACATTTCTACAATTAAATGTGATTGATAAAATGTTCATTGTGCATGTTTTTTTCCTCAGTACCCTCAGCTATTGTCTTCGAGCTCCCGATAATTCGAACTCCCCATAACTCGAACTTTTTTCGATTTTCCTTAAAGGTTCGAGTTATGGAGAGTCGACTGTAATAATAAAAATAACATTTTAGCCTATGAAAGAAGAGGAAGACAGAGGAAGAGCCAGGGAAACTGGACAGTAAATCACTATCATGAAATTATAATTATGATCTCTAAGGCGGAGAGTCACACCAGATAGGTTCTCGTGTCGGCACGAAGGAGAGAAAGCTATTCGGTATAGTGCAAACTAGTATCTAGCATTAGCTTTATTTTCACTTACGACTCTTAGAGAAGGAGAGTGTATATCCATGACAGCGACAACCACGTCCACATTCTTGCATAGATCAACAACTGCATCATCTGTTTGTGGGCGATGGCCTATTCCTGGAGTGTCGTATAATACAACGTGTTCTACCAAAGCTTTGCATCCCTCTTTAGGTGATTCGACATCAATAACACTGTTCGGTTCAATGCCAAGCCTCTCTCTTTCGGGTTTTGCTTTTAGAACGTGAAGTAATTCCATTAAGTTGGTGACTTGTAATGTTTTACCAGACTTTCTCTCAGTGGCAGTTATTTTCTGGGCTGAAGTCCCTGATATTGCTACGCTACAAAATGTTGTTTCTCCGTTCATAACGGGCAGGACATCTTTTTGTAGCAAGCGGTTTATCAATGTTGTCTTCCCAGCATTTATTGTGCCGATAAACGCGATATGGATTTTGTCTTCTTCCCTCCCTGCTAGATGAATAGCATTCTCACAGAGATTTGTAACTTTCTTGGAAAATGTCTTGAAAGCTTCCCATTCCTTTCCTGTCGTGTTCGTGTTGTTAAAGTAGTCTTCCATCTCATTTCTAGAGGTCGCCAGTGTCTTTGCTGCTTTTAGTAGTTTCACTCCCAACTGCATGGTGTCCCGAATTTTGGGTGTAAAATCAGCAAAAGAAGACATTTTCGACTGTCAGTAAAACTCCTGAATTAAATTCAGTAAGGTTGGTTCCACTAGCTTACACTTAATTCTTCGGTTGAATCCTTGCGCTCGCCAAAATACAGACGTCACTTGGCCCAAAATTTGCATATACGTGTACAGCTGCCTCTACACCGGATAGATCACAGATCTGACAATGTTTTTTATAAACCTTATGAAATACAACAAAACACGTTTTGAGTAAATGTTCATTTTTATGACTTACACTTCTAAATTTGAGCCATTTCAGGCGAGTAAATCGAAGAAAAAGCTTATGTAAATGAGGGCGAGCAGCTAAAATATTTCCAATGCATACCTTTTATCTTCTCACGGGGAACTAAGTTATGGGAAGACACCGCGACTACTAGAGCAATAGGCATGCCGGGAACTGCGGATATGCAAACCGCCATCAAGGGAGGTGGGAGGGGCGAATTTGACCGAACTCCGTAGAACTGACCAAGAAGCGACTGAAACCCACCAGCGCGCAAGCCTACGAATCAAAGGATTGAGTTCGAAAAATCCTTCCCGCTTAAATAGGTATGCTATGAAAATGGTTTACAATCATGAATTACAGTTAGCTGTTTCATTAAAATAGCTCATACCCGACATGTAACCCAGGCTCAGTAATAGTACCGCGGTACAAATCCTGTAAAATTACAGTCGTGTGTGTTTATATGGGGTACAGTTACGATAAAAATTGTAGGAAATACTATTTGAAAGTCAATGAAACTTACTCTGCAGTTAGTTGCTCGCACGAATTTTCGTCATCATCTATGCTCAAGCAGTGAACCAGTACGTCCTCCATACAATAAAATATAAAGGTAGGTCGCAAGAAATGAATTCTCAGCCACCATATCGCTTCGCTTCTAACAACACCTTTTCACGAAATTCGAACTTCAAACGGTAACATTCATTGTAGGCTGTTAGATAAAAGCCTACCCAGGACTGCCCCGGTCTAAATATAGACACCAATAAGTTACATTTTTTTCTATTAATCCAATAAAGCTTCCCCTGAGGAAAACCGGCGAACCAGATTCAGCAGACTTTGAGAAACTCGAAGATGAGAATTCAAAAATGGACGCTGCTGCTTGCGCCGATGGTGATAGGAAAATTTGAACTTAAATCAGCTCCCCTAAAATTGCCTGCGTGGGTAAGCTGCCTTTACGTACCTAGAAATTTGGATGCTCTTGCCTCTTGCCGAAAACAGAGATGTCACTTGATTTACCGCTTCACTAGAGAACGGGCTGAACAGATCTTTGAAAATAACCGAAATGACCTTGAGATTAAAATTTGGGAAGTGCACTGAATCTCAAACTGAATATGCATTGGGGGAAGACTCACGGCAATTCCCAATAGGCTAATCTTGGCCCATTCTCTAGTTCCACCGATCCATGTTACTAATATTACATATTACTAAAGTTCTTGCCTGACTTATGTCGAAATAGAAGAGATGTCAACCTAGTTGCAGATCAGTGTATCATGGCTCAAGGCTTGCTGCTCTTTGGATCATGATCTAATAAACTGTATTCTTATCTGAGGAATAGATTGAATGTGCTCCCTTATCATGCTGAAAGAAGTGCGTTTTTAGTTTTATTGCACTTTTTGGGTAGTATACTGATGGTGGTGATCATGAGATGACACATTATACATTTAGGTGGAGGTTAATAAAGTCAAGATTCTGTTATCAATAATTTGATTTTTTTTGTACATGTTTTCGTGGCATTACAGATTTCTACGCAGAGTCATTGAAAAGTGCCCACTTGTAACATCTGTCAAGGAGGTCTTCGGATCTTATGTGAAAATGAGATTGAATTCAAAGAAGATCGGAGAAGTCCGAGATGAAGGCCAATTTAACCGTCTCGACCCATTCAAGTCAGTTGCCGCTTTAGGAACTTAATTCCAATTCCATAACTTAGGGGCCGCTACCACAAAATCAACAGCTTTCAGATGTGGGTTGTATAAGGGGGAACAGCCAGGTTTATCTTATCAAAACCTACAAGTACCTGCATACTACAAAGAGGCGATAGACTCTAAATTGAGAAAAAACTCGGAGGTAACTCCTCGCAAGAAACGCTTCAAAGAGCTAGAGGCTGTAAATCCTAAGGCTCGCAGGCTAAGCCCGGCGGGGCATTTCGAATTTGGATCGACTTTGGAACCCCTTTGATTCAGACGCCGAACTTTTCATCTACCGAACCTAATGCATAAACTCTTACAACGTATTTTGTAAGCAGTTCAACCGAAATGAGCATTTTCTCCTTCTGAATTTTAGTTCGACTGGAATTAAGATCGGCGTCTGAATCAATTCAGCCTCTTATCAGCCGGTCTTAGTAATTTGAGTCGGGTTTAATTCGAATTGGGTTCGGCTCATAAAATGTTCGGCGTTTGAACCGGCCCTGAAGCAAACGTCACCTTACGAGAATCAAGAAGCGCGAGAATCAGTGAAGTTACAATTTTTGGCATATCGACGACCCCCGGAGAGACTAATAAAGAAAACGAACGTTTGATTTTTGGTGGTTTTATTGAGCTTGTCATCAGCACCTTATTTAAATGTAATTTCTGAGTTTTCAGTCTGTCGAACTCGGAAACTCTATTTTATAAGCTCGATAGTTACACAGCTAACAAACTTTTAGCAGCTTCTCGAAGCAGGCCAGCCGTATCTTTATAATACATGACCTGACAAACCTGATGAGTTACATAATTTAAATAACTGATCGAGATTGGTCGCAAGTAAGCGTAAAATATTACTACTACTAGGGCATTAGTATTTGTTAAAACTAAATAAAATAATTTTGCAAGAAACTAATTTACGAAATCACGTTCACACTCGACTTAGAATATCCTAATAAAAACGGTACTCAGTTAGAGCTGGGGTAAATTATGAACTTCTGATACTACGCATAAATGTAGCTTTTCAAGAAAACTTTTAGTGAAGGGAACAAAAGTTATATGAAATATTTTTACTTAGCAGTGAGTTACGGCTTGCAATCTGCAAACGCAGTTTATGCAGCTTTTTTTCCATTCTTGTCTGTTATCACTTGCTCCCTGTTTTTCTTCTTCTTCAGGGTGTGGCTCATCAACTTCCATGGAAAGTTCCACGTTTCTCTCACTTGGTAACAAAGCTGGGTCACGTGCCACTTCTATGGTTAGCAAGCCTTTTTTGGTCAAGCGTGACGTCACTGAACTGAGTTCTGCGTCGTCAGGCAACAAAACGCGACGGCTGTAATCACGTGAAAAATATGAACCATCTTCTTCCGATCTATGTTTTCCTGTGACCGTGAGCTCATGTCCACGAAGTTGGACCTTGATTTCTTCTGGTTTGAATCCACGCAGATTCAATCTAACCACGAACTTGTCGTCGTCTGTTTTTGTTTTCTCTTCAACTCGTTTGACGCCTTCGAGGACAAGAAAGCTGTCATCTTTAGCTACACGTGACGTCACTGTTGTGGGATCTACGTCTTCCGGGAGCTTAATGATTTTTTTGAACTCACTATTCTCAAATCCATCTTCTCCTTCGGATCGATGCTGGCCGTGTAAGGTTATATTTTCTCCATCAACATCAAGAGAAATTTCTTCTGGTTTGTACTGGTTGAGTGGCAGTGAAGCGATTGTGACAAGGCCGGAGTGTTTCCTTTGCTGACAGCATATGTCTCGCTCTTGTTCCTCAAAGGAAAGAGCTATGTCTCTCCATAAGTCACGCAAAAGCCCATAACCTGGGACGTCTTGATTATAGTAACTGCTGTAGCTGAAAATAAAACAAAAGGAAATGGTTATTTTGGGTGATTTCTGAGACTGAGTTGTCTAATACACAGATCGGTGATGACTTGAAATTTGCAACATATTTACTCAGTTCCGACTCAGTGCTAGCAGTGTATATTTTTCAGGGGCACCCAACGACAATTTTCGGAAGAATATCTGTTCGGAAGACGATTTTACATCTAGAATTTTCTAAACATTTGTTGCAAAAATTTCTTGCTTGCCTGCCTCTCCTAGGATTTTCGAACATCTAAAAATGGTATAATTGCCTATTTTTAACGGATTTTTACCCTAAAAAGGTCACCTAGAATTTTCGGGAGCCTTTTTTCTGGCTGAAATTTTCGAAAAGGTAAGTTTTGATCCCCATAATTTTCGGATCACTAGACTTTCAGCTAGGAAATCCGAACAGATGAAAAATTTTTAGGGGATAAAAATATGCCTATATCTACCGTTTAAATACTAAAATACGTTTAACATTGCTACGTTTAAGTGGTTTTGAACTCATATTCTCGTTGGGTGCCCCTGATTTTTAGTGAATGTTCCGTATAGAAATACACATGTGTATCAAATAAGAACAGAACCATTGACTAGCAGAATCACGGATACCATACGCTTGAAGTTTTGAAAGAAGAATAGCATGGTTTACCGTATTGTATTTCAGCTCGAAGATATATGGCTTGTTAGCTACTCTAAATTTGAGTATAAATAAAGTTTACGTTATGTTATGTGTTAACTCAAAGTATGAACAAATAACCTTTCATTATATCATATAATTTGAATACTGAGACTTCAATCCACAGAAAAAAAGTCACAAGTAAAAAGTCTTTAATGTCTGCCTGATATCCAGTGTATCTGCAAATGTTTTCGAATCTCCTGAAACTATTGCTGGTCGAGTCTCCAGAATAAGCTTTTGATACTCTATGGCTATCCTATTGCTTAATATGCATTGATCAATTAAGTACGCATCTTAAAAGGGAAAATGAACCTAAAAATATGACAAGAAAGTAACAGAAGATTACGCCTGATCATGGGGACGACAGCGAATTTTAAAAACCAAAAAAATTGTAGTACACCATCAGTAAGAATCAATCGAAGCATGCAGGCGAAAGAGTATTTTGTTATAAAAAAAGTTGAGATTTTCTAAAGAAAATAATTCTTCAAAGTCGTAATTGACTCTTTGTAGAGAAGAAAAATAATTTCGAAAAGCTTACCAAGTTGGATGATAGGTTGGAAATATGAAAACGAGGGCCATACTGTCGAGAACTTTAGTTGTAATTTTACTTCTTGAAAATCTCCAGCGATATCTTGAGTCTTCCGGGTTTTTTTTGAACAGATGGTTGGTGAGCCAAAATCCATGCATTTTATAATAAAAAAGATTTCTTCTCGAACCATCGATCGTTGTTAAAATTAAATAATTTCTCAGAGCTTCGTAAGTATGACTGGTAGCTGATTCAACCTGACAAAATCTGACTGGACAAAAATATACTTCTTTAGGTTTTTTCGTGAAAAAACGAGACGTTTCTCGAACGTTCTGTTCTGCCCAAAAAGCAAACTCAGCAGTTTTACATCGCGCGAAAGGTCTGCTGGGACAATCTGACGTCATTCTGCAAACAACAACAAGCTCATGAGAACAAAATGGCGGACATGCGAATAGCATGTTTATGCCAATAAGTAGTATTGTAATTCATAGAAAAACACGGAATTGATAGTAGTGATGCCTTGGTTCTTCCCTTGGTCTGACTTGATAAAGAAAAGGGCCTGTAGGTATTTATTACAGCATTATCCGGGCATTATCTTGGCCATTTTCTAGCTGCAGGAAAAGCTGATGTTGACCAGCTGACTGTGGATCTTTAGAATCAGCTGTTAGAATGGAACGGGAAGAGTAGATAAAGCTCATCGGGACGTTTTGGGTAGGTGAAGTCAGTTTGGAGCAACTTCAGAATACTCGTCACTGCGGCCGCGGTAGCACAATGTGATGAGGAATATTTTAGTGGCCGGGTATTCTGATGTTGGAAATGTAGTCACCACAACACTATTCACTCACTTCAAATTGTTTAATTAAAAAGTCACAGTGAAAAAGTCACACCCATAACCGTCCCGAAAGCTGCTCTAGTCTCGAGTGAAGCGAAGAATCTATATTGAATACATATACTGTTGAAAAATCTAAAGTTACAAATCATTTGATTGACGTCTTTGATACTTGATTATCTCCAAAATAGCTAAATGATCAATATAATAAAATTGTCACGCACTTAATATTTCTAACACTGATGTTTTATCGTCAGTTAAAAGGTAACTGAAATAGAATAAGGGTGTGTTTCTTTACTAAAATCGAAATCGGGATTTTTAATCCAAAAACGAATTATTGATCCAAACGATCCACAACGGAGGAGGATTCTTTGGATCATATTCAAATCCGGATACTTTGGATACTAGCCGGTACACAGACGTTGATTTATTTTTCTTTTCGTTGTTTTGGAAAACATCGGCGTGTGCGAGAAAGAAAAATAAATTGCCTATTTTCTTCTTCCCCCACCCTAGACTGCGACCAGTCTCTCTTTTTCTTCAGATTTAGTAAGGGGAGTGCACGCACGCGCGAGTGTTGAGCAGCTTTCGCTGCAAGATGCGAGAAAGGAGGGCCTCTCCCATCTTGCGCCTTCAGCCACGCGCGTGGTCATTTGCGTGTCTCGGTTGTTTGCTCGACGGACCAAGAAAAATGGGAGATTGCTTGTAGTCTACCCCCACCCCTACCCGTTTGTGCTGGCAGTCAATAAATCCCCCACAATTTATCTTTTATCATGGGTGCTCGACATACTTTGAAGAGAAAATAGAGGGTCTGTGAACAGGCTATTTGGATACATGATCCGAAGCATTTCTTTACTATGTATCCAAAAAGAGTGAATATTGCCAGCGGTAACTTGCAACAATTTTAATACATAGATCAGCTTCTTGACAAGACTGCTTATCATGGATTAAATGAGCCAGCAATGTTGTTGCATCAGTGTTGGCAGCTGTGTGCAAACAGATGCAACAACTCCCAACAATATTGGGACTTGCAGTGCATTGTGAGAAGGGTACAACCCATAAGACATTGTAAACTCAAAGAGGACCATGTGTAATGTGTGTGTGTGGCCCCTAAAATGTTTCAAGAGCCATGCAAACAGATCTAACTTTGCACAACCACTCCCAATAACATGCCACAGGGTGTGCAAATGGAGGCAACTTGTGCACTAACACATCCAATAATGTTAGGAGCTCTTGGCTAACAATGTTGCATCCATTTGCGTGGGGCGTCGAAGCTTGTATGTTTTGTTCAGCTGCCTCAAATAGTTTGTTCATGCCTCGCAACGTCTGCCTTGCTGGCTCAAATATTGTATACACTCTTTTATATTCAACTTACATTGTTACATATCTTTGGTATTTTGCACCTGAAATTAATCTCATATGTCAGTTTTAACGTGTTAAAAATTCCAGGGCTTGGGTATCATTAACTCATAACCAGCTATAATTATATTAATTGCCTGTTTCGATTCACTTTCTTCAGAGTATAGGATACATGTACATTGATTTCCAACACTCTCTTGGTCCTTCCCGCGAAGAGATGGCTGGACATCTCGTAATAATTCATACCTAAATATTAGCCTAACATTAAAATGCCCGATGCTGAACGGGCAAGAAAATCAGCCTTTCCTCGGCGTTAGCGTATTCCCTTTGTTGTTGTTAGGTACAATAATAACAGTGTTCTAAATAAAATGAATCATGTAGAAAAAAAGGTTGGAAGACTTGTCATGTCCTACAGTTGGCCACGGTGTTTCGTAGCAGTACAAACATTTTCAAGCCGTTTATCAAACTAGTAGTCTGGGTTCGTGTAAGACACCTCGGCAATTCTAATTTTTCAGTTTTGTATTAATTAAAAGTGAAAAAGGAAATATTTCAGCCTGCCATATTCACATTATTACCCCTAGTAGCTTAAAATTGCAAATTCCTCTCTCATTACGGCTAATTTTGAAGTCGTTTCCAAGATATAGAACACCAGGGAATTGACCTCCAAACCCCCTCATAGATGGTCGCGCACTTTGTATACTAACCAAAATCTCCAAACCTTACGTTTTTCTCTTTTTTCTCTTTTCTTTTTTTCGTTTGAGAAGTCGTCTCCAAAGTAGAAAAGGGATGAAAAGGGTACAAATGAGCGGTTAAATTGAATACAAAGTCTGTTAACCAAAACGGCGGGGACGTATGAAGATAAACCAAAAATGTCACAAATAGAGGTGAAAATGTCCAGTTTGTAACTAACAATAAACAAGCTTTCAACACAGTCCCAGTATTTAACAATTATTATTCCTCGAGCCCGAATGGACTCTGAGTCAATAGCCCATGAGGCCAAAGGCCAAATGGGCTATTGACTCAGAGGCCATGAGGGCTAGAGGAATAATTGTTTTAGTAAAATCCAACTACCCGTCATGATGATACCGAAACGTTAGCTTTTAACGTTAATATTCGCTCGCTTATGTTTTAAGAAATCGTTATTGATCAAAAATCCAACTAGCTGGTAAAAAATATCGAGACAAAACAACTTTAGCTAGTTAAAGCTAGACTTTAATCCTTTTTTGCCGCCAAAAAGCTTGCGCTTTGCCCTACGAGAGGGCTGTAACATACAGCCTAGTAGCAGCTCAACCAATCAGAACGCAGCATTCATAATAGACCACTAGTTGGATTTTACTAAAACATATTATACCTTTTCAAAGGTAAAACAAACAAGGGAAACACAGGTAATAAAATTAAACTCGTGGATAAACAGAGATACCGGGGACGAAAGCTTTTAAGGCTGTTGTTTTGTTGACACTATAGACAGTAATCAAAATAATTTGATCACGCGATTATCGTAAATGGTATTAACCATTAGGATAATGAATGTCGTGCAATTCAAGCCTGCGATGTATACGGAGAGAGGGGAGAGGAGTACTCAGTAAAGGTTTATACGGAGAGGCTCCACCCGTAGGTCCAATCCCTTACCATTTTATATACCACTTTGGACAGAAAAGGACCCCTCTCCTTTCATATAACTCCTATTGACAAATGGTACTGCTTTCACCTTCTTAAAATTGTAGTTACTGTTTATTTCTTTAACTGCTGTAAACGCATTGTCTTTAAAATATGAATAAATCACAAAAGTAGAATGCTTTCGTCGACTTTGTCACTGCCATAAAATGTATCTGTTAGCTGTTTTGGATGTTGCTACCAACCGAAATGACAGATTTCCCTACCCTTTTATATTCTTCAACAAGTGAAATCCCAACCCTTTCTTTCGTATACCTGAAGCCTGAGAAAGTACTCCTTTTGGGATTTACTTTCCCGTGGTATGTCATTATAGGGAATACCCTCCCCCCCACCCCCTGGGGATATGGGCCGTTGTCTTGAGCCAGTATTAATATTAATTATATTTGCTTTCTGGCTAGTAGTATTGTTTTCATACAACTCCATTCTGTTTAGGTCTGTTTACAACCTGACTGAGGCTGATACAGCGTAAATCTATCACAGGCAGCTCAAGGTCAGTACTTGAACACTCATAATACAATGCTGTATACTTCAATGCAACAAACATTTTATTTAGTTTTTAATAGATTATAATGGATCTGGAGAGCTATCAATATTTTTTTCTCAAAACCATAAAAATACACAATTTTTTTAATTTGTTTTCTATGTGTAATTTGATTGGAAACAGTTGGAAAGAAATAACATGAAAAGCAAAGAAACATCTTTATTGAGCTGGCCTAAGTTCAGTTTCACATTTATGCCTATGTATTTTGCCATTTTAAAAGCATTGTAAGTGATTCTAGAACAAACTCCACATTGTACGTATTTTTTGCATGGCATTGTATTAGTGAGTGTTCAAGAACTGAACCTGGGCTACCTGTGCATAAAACTGCAAATGGAAGTTATGATTCCAGAGACTATTTTAATTGTCCTATTGGAATCGTAGCTATGATTAATAGAACAATGAATCATGGTTATGATTCCAGAGATGCTTTTAATAGTTCTATTGGAATCATAGCTATGATCAATAGAACAATAAATCATGGTTATGATTCCAGAGATGATTTTAATAGACCTGTTGGAATCATAGCTATGATTAACAGCACTGTAAATCATAGTTAAGATTCCAGAGATGATGTTAATAGTTCTATTGGAATCATAGCTATGATTAATAGAACAATAAATCATGGTTATGATTTCAGAGATGATTTTAATAGTCCTGTTGGAATCATAGCAATGATTAACAGCACTGTAAATCATAGTTATGATTCCAGAGATGATTTTAATAGTCCTATAGAAATCATAATGATGATTATGATACCAATGGAATCATATTATGATGTTTAGGGTACTTGTCAAATCATATTACGATTCGTTATGATGCATACAGGACTATTACATCATCACATGAATCATCGCATATGATTCCATAGGTTGGATTCCAGTGAATAGGGTAACTGCTCTGGAAAGGCATCAGAAAATTTCAAGTCAAAGAGACCAAAAAAGCTTCTGCTTTAGATAGAAAAATGCCAACAGGCTATCCCCTCATTGAGACTACATTATCTAGAGGTAAAAAGTGGTCAAAATGAACGATAATTAAAAGGAAACACAACCCAGTTAGTTGCTCATTTAAACATTTTATTGTTCTTGTACTATATACGGACCTATAATAACTTTCATTAACTTATATTCCAAAGGTTTACTATCCCAAAAACTTAAAATATCAAGAACTATACTATATATAGACAAAGAACTTTGGATAAAAACTGATAACTGATCTGATATACATTTTAACTAAAGTGTAAAATATTTCTTTTAATCGGTACTTGACGCATTGGAACATGTTTGTCTGATGATTAAAAACCATGCCAGCCCGAATATGTCTTCGTTAGTTTCTTCTGCCGAGCCTGTTCCTCGCAGAAGAGAGCTGTGTTCCTCCATAAATCTTGCAAAAACCCATCACCTGGGACAACTTGATTGAAGTAGCTGTTGTAGCTGAAATTAAAACAAAAGAAAATTGTTTTCGGTTTCGTAAGAAAAGTGAAAAAGGAAATATTTCAGCCTTGCTATATTCACATTATTACCCTTAGTAGCTTAAAATTTTCAAATAGAAAGATGTAGTTTCTCGTTACGACTCATTGAGGTCGTTGCCAAGACATTTTGTATACTGCTAGAAGTGATTACTTTTTTCAGTTTTACTTTTGTTAATATATATTTTCGGAGAAATCAAGAAAAAATTGTGTCGAAATTTTTCGAAGAATGTATAATGGCGTCATGTATGGGCTCAGCCGTAACGTTTTTATCAATCAACAATATTTAATTTTGCAGCTTTATATGCTTGATAATTCCTTCCTTGTTTTGTTGGAAAGAGTTAAAAATGCTCAAGTGCTTAAATGTTCAGGTTATAAGATAACGTCTCCGAAACCATAATTATCCTAGAAAGAAATAAAGTATCAACAATGATGAAAAAAGCCAAAGCCGATTACTACTCCAATTTATTTGACGAAGTAGACACCGCTGCTGCTTACTAGAGACTACTGAAAAAGACATGAGGAACAACAAAAGTAAACAGACAAGCTCACCAATTAAAGAGGACGATGGGAACCTCACAACAGATGACACCGAAAAGGAACTATGGTAAACGATTATTTCTGCACAGTTAATGAAAAATTGATTGGCCCCGCGGATGAAATCAGTAGACAATGTAGACATTCCAACTACGACCAGCATCACGATTAGTCAGATGAAAATCGAGGAAAAGATCTGTAACTTAAAAGTGAAGAAAGCTGCGAAGCCAGATGACGTATGTGCGCATTATTTAAAGTATGCGGGTATGTCTATTGCCCCATCTCTCACGAGCTTGTTTAAACACAGTGTTGATGCCTTCAAGCCACCAGACCAGTGGAAAATAGCTAGAGTCAGTGCAGCGTTCTAAAAAGGACGAGTGGAAGACATTACATGATACGGACTACTATCTAAGCTCAGGATATCAAGTAAATTAATGGAATCCTGTGTCGCACAAGTAATATTACTAATCACGTGGTCACGCAAAATTTACTTGATAACAGACAATGGGCTTATAGGAAGGGAAAGTCAGCAGAACAGCTTTTAATTCACCTAAAAGAGAGGTGGAGAGAAGCAGTAGAAAAAAAGCTTTATGTAGGAATTCTGTTTGTCGATTTCACTAAAGCTTTCGACACAGTATCGCACAATATATTACTACAAAAGCTGAACGACATTGGAATCAGAGGAGATGTCTGGCTGTGGTTAAAGAACTACCTCACCGAACGATGACAAGTCGTCAGAATTAACGGATGCTACTCCGATATATGCACCGTAACTCACTGAGTGCCGCAAGGGTCGGTCCTCGGACCCACGTTATTCTCGCTCTTCACAAACGACCTCCCAAAATCACTACGCTCTAAGGAAACGTATCTGTATGCAGACGACACAACAATACTGCATCGCAGAAACTATGGATTTGCTAACAAACACACCAAACAATGTTCTAGCTGAGCTCCAGGAATGTTGCGACAGAAATTTGTTAGTACTACACCCAGAAAAATGTAAACCAATGATCATGCAGCGGAAATCAACATTTTCTGGCCCTATCCAAGCTCTTCGTCTTGGCAACAACATCGATCATAAAGTGGACAACCTCAGGAAGACTCCTCGGAGTACAGGTTGATAACAAGTTGCCCTGGTCAGATCATGCTGCAAATGTAGCGAAGTCCTTCGCATCCAAGTTAAGTTTAATCCCACGCATACGATAGGCTCCCTCGCAAGCAATTAGAAGACTTGTACACAAAAGTGATACGGTCATCAGCTACATACGGCCTGAAAGTGTGGGGATCTTTCAACAAGACGAACATAAAGAACCTGGTGAAATTCCATGCAAAAGCTGGGCGAATTATACATGGGTTGCCATGGGACACAAGTGCTAAAGATGTCATAACGCGAACTGGATGGGACAGTTTGGAAACAACGTACAAAGTGTGATTAACGGAGTTTCTCTTCAAATGTATAAAGGAATGTAAAGATTTGTTTTTTCAGGGGAATTCAGGCCGCAGAAGAAATGAGAACATCATTCTTCCAAGACCAGAAATGAATTTATTCAGAAACTCCATTGGAACAGTTTAACGAACAGGGAGACAAGGGATAAAACATCGAAAAAGTTTAAACGCTGTCTTGCAAAATTTGATGCTGATAAAATGAATTTCGAACCTATTTTAGCTACAACTATTGGTTACAAATATTTTAAACACTTTTTAATTGTTAATTGTACATTTGTTTTCAGTACTCCTTCTTTTTTTTGTAATTGTTGTATGCACGACTCCAACAGCAATGCTGATCTTCGTATCGTGCTAAAATAAAGTTCTTATCTTATCTTATCTTATTTTATCTTGAGGAAACACCAGAGAATATAAACCTTTCCATGGTTTTTTTCTACGTTTGACATGGGCAAGTCAGGGAAAATCCGCCAACTCCGCTGGAAAGAACGCCTGTAAAATATGAAAATTGCCAGGTTTGAAAGTGATTTGTTGAAAACTAACGAAGATATAGCTCTTCATCAAAGCCGCGAAATTTTACAGATGTTTGTACGGTGATAGCTGGGGGAACCATCCAGCAAAAAGCCGTAAACTTTAAGAGGAACTTTGCGGAACTATATCTTTTCCCGCTTAAGACGTATTACTTCCAAACTTGGCAGTTTTACCAATTTAAAGGAGTTCTTTCCAGTAGTGTCAACAGATTTTCCCTTACTGTTTCATGTCAAAATTAAAGTTGAAAAAACCGTAAAATGTTCTATTGAACTCAGAACCTGGGCCGTGCACTAACCAACTGCCCCAATCCTTCTTATTTGGATTTTTTTTTTCTTTTCTATGACTTTTTGTTTTAAGATGTCGTCTCTGAAACAGGAAAAGTGATGAAAAGGGCCAGAGTGAACGGTAAAAGTGAAAACAAAGTCAGTCTCCTGATTTTCCAATTTTTATTGACCCTTAACTAATGACTTAACTATTTTATAACATGTTGTGATCTCACAAAAATATTGTCGATAGTTACACAGCTAAAAAAAGTTAATAGCTTTAATGCATAGCCAGACAACCCTAGACTGGTGTGAAAAGCTAATGATACTATAATGTAATGGAAAAAGATTGGCTGCAAAATAAATCAGTGTAAAATAGTGCTAATACTAGCGCATTTGTGCCTGTTTGTCTGCTTAAATTATAAATCAATTCAAAAACTGACGCAAGAAAATGATTTACTAAATTCGAAATTACTATTTTATAATCAAATTGTACTCTAAGTGTTGATAACTTAACAAGCATTAAACGCTATGCTGAAATGTTGCTTAGCTTCTCGAGAAAATTTTAATCAGAAATTAATGTAACAAAAAATTGACAAACTGTTCTATACGATCGCGAGTGATTCCTTACAATCTGCAAACGCAGTTGATTTAGCTTTTATTCTAATCTTCTCTGTTACCGCTTGCTCCTTGTTGTTGTTGCTCTTTTTCTTCAGGATGTGGCTTATGATCAACTTCCATGGAAAGTTCCACGTTTCTCTCACTTGGTAACAGAGCTGGATCACGTGCCACTTCTATTGTTAGCAAGCCTTCTTTGGACAAGCGTGATGTCACTGAACTGAGTTCTGCGTCGTCAGGCAACAAAACGCGACGGCTATAATGACGTGACAAATATGAACCTTCTTCTTCCGCTCTGTGTTTTCTTGTGACAGTGAGCTCATGTCCACGAAGATGAACCTTGATTTCTTCTGGTTTGAATCCACGCAGATTCAATCTAACTACGAACTTGTCATCGTCTGTTTTTGTTTTCTCTTGAACACGCTTGATGCCTTCGACGACAAGAAAGCTGTCATCTTTAGATACACGTGACGTCACTGTTGTGGGATCTACGTCTTCCGGGAGCTTAATGATTTTCTTGAACTCACTATTCTCAAATCCATCTTCTCCTTCGGATCGATGCTGGCCGTGTAAGGTTATATTTTCTCCATCGACATCAAGTGAAATTTCTTCTGGTTTGTATTGGTTCAGTGGCAGTGAAGCGATTGTGACTGGGCCGGAGTGTTTCCTTTGCTGACAGCATATGTCTCGCCCTTGTTCCTCAAAGGAGAGAGCTATATCTCTCCGTAAATCACGCAAAAGCCCATAATCTGGGACGGCTTAATTATAGTAACTGCTGTAGCTGAAAATGAAACAAAAAAATTGTCATTTTGTGTGATTTCTGAGACTGAGCTGTCTGATACACACATCGATGTCTTGAAATTTGCAGCTGATGTACTCAATACTAGCAGTGTATGTTTTTAGTGAATGTTCCGTTTAGAAATACACATTTGTTAAATCAAGCTATGAACAAATCACCTTTCATTTCTATAATATAATTTGAATACTGAAACTCCAATACACAGAAAAAAAGTCACAAGTAAAAAGTCTTTAATGTCTGCCTGATATGTATATCTGCAAATGTTTTCGAACCGCCTGAAACTGTTGCTGATCAAGTCTCCAGAATAGGCTTTTGATACTCTATGGCTGTCCTATTGCTTAACTGATATATTGATCAATTATGTACACATATAAGACTGAGTATCTTAAAAGGGAAAATGAACCTAAAAATATAACAACAAAGTAACAGAAGATCCTGACAAAACATGATATT